GTCCCCCACCGCAGTACTGACTAGGCGATACCTTGCTTAACTTCGCAGATCGGACGGGATGCGGTGCTTTCAAGGTTCTATGGCCGCAGATATCTGTCATGCTTGGCATAAGAATTATGATCCACCATCTAGCTGTCCACACGTCCTGGACCAAGGCACCAGTGGCACATCGAGACGTGCTCGCCGATTGAAGCCGGAGGTGTCTGAAACGTCCCCGTTTCGACGTTGGCTTCGCGCGCTTGCACACGGACGATCCGCAACACATCCAGGTTCGACCCGGTGAGAACGTTGCGCTTTCGGTGTGAGCGGGCCAAGCAATCTTTGGGTGGTTCGCGGTCAGCTTCTCGAGGCATATGATCAGCTCATCGTCCGGCCGGCGCATCACACGCACGCATACGACTAGGCACGATGGAGATTAAGCGGGAACGGATAGGACTAACTGTACAACTATGGCGAAAGAATACAAGGCAAGGGCAGTGCGACGAGAACGATTAGGACGCTGCATTAGAAAGCGGAGAGGGAGTCGATGGAAAACTGCAACTGATGGGGCTGCAGTTGCTCCTGGTGATGCATCTGGTGTGGTTCGGCCATGGAGATGAACTGGTCGATCTCGGTGGGAGTGTTTGCCTCCGCCGTCGCCGTAGACGATGACTGCGAAAGCGACGAGGAGAGCGGGTTGGACTTGGGGAAGAAGTGGCCCATTGCGGACTGGAATGCGATCACCTCTGCCGCCATGCTGGATTGGGAGCTCATGAATGGCTGTTCGGCAACCTGCATTTGGGGCGCCATGATTTGGGGGTCCACGTGAACCATGGGCAGACTGGCATGTTGCATGGGCGCAACCGCGCCGTCGGGGAACAGCATCTGGTACTGCGAAGGCGAGATGTTGGAGGCGGACCAGTCGAGCGCCCCCGCATCGAACGAGGCAAGCGGCGAACGGAAGAGACCGTCCTTGCTGTCGACGTTGGCGTTGCATGCAAACGCGCTCAGGTTCGGCAACTCGCTCATAGCCTGGTTGGTCGCGCTGTGCTTGTTCCTCAGGTCGGCGCCAAAGGCGGCCCACATGTTGTCCCACTGTGCGCTGTTGTTGGGCGCGCCCGGCAAGCTGCCCGTGTTGCGTGCCAGAAGCGGCGCAGCACCCAAGCCGTTGGAAGCAGCAAGACCGTAGTCGCACGCGCCCGCGTCGATGTGGAACGTATCGTGTGCCGAGATGTCCGACGGCGACGAGGCGGGCGAGTCTGCAAAAGGGTTGGCCGACTGGGTGGCGATGCTGAGCATCTCCATCCACGAGCTCTTGGATCCGCCGTTGAGCTGGTCAAAAGCATCGGCAACGATGGCGGCAGCAGCCGCGTTCTCGCCCGAGTTGGTCGAGTTGGCGCGCGTGCGTGTGCCGGCCACCTCCTTGACCTTGCGCAGCATCTCTTCCTGCTGCTTGCTGGCGGCACCCGAGCCCAACGAGGTGGTGGCCGTCCTGCGGCGTCGGTGAGGACGCGTACCGCGGAAGATGATGCCGGCCGCTTCCAAGATGGCGCGCTCCTTCTTGGACGGTGGGCCACGCTTGCGCAGCATGTCTTCGGTGGTGCACTTGCGGCCCGAGGCGGTGCAGCTTCCGCAGGTGGGCTTGGTGCGGTCGCATCGGATCTTGCGACGTCGGCAGTAGTCGCACGCCGCCACCTGACCATCGGAGCCATCGGGCATACGGCCACGAAGAGACTGGAGCACCTCGGCAGCGCGTTGGATGTTCTCCTCGCTGGGGTACTCGGAGCCGGGCTCCTCGAGGCCCTTGGCGATCTCGAAGCCTGCGGGGATGTGAATGTCTTGGAGGGTAAGACGGCGCTGCTTGGACGACGACGGCTCGGCAGATGGGCTGCGCGATGTTGAGCTGGATGGACCTGTGGAGAAGGTGGCTCCCGAAGAGCTGCTTCCGCTGCTGATGTAGCTCATTGTGTAATGCAAAGACTGAGCCGAACTTGTTCGACTGGTGGATGGGGTGGAAGGATGTTGGTCGAGGTGAGATGACCGCGTGATGGCAAGGAAGGAAGGTACGATGGCGTAGGCTAGCGTAGGCTAGCTGTGTGGGTATCGAGGCGTTGGACGAGGTCAAAGCGCACCAGGCGACACGCAAGGGTATAGAAAAAGAGCGAAGGCTAGGCAAGGTTGAGCTTCGATGGGGGCCCGTGTGGTCGGATCGAGGTGCTCGCTGCAGGCAGTCGGGACGGGAATCCGTTTCTTATGCGCCGCTTTTGTTGTGCTATTGTGGTGGAGAGGAAGAAGCTACTGATCTTCCGTAAAGATGGTGGAAAAGTCGGACAGAGGCAAGAAGATGATGGAGAGGAGGAGACGGTGTCCAGAGGGGTGCAAAGACTCTGTGCGCGAAGAGCGCAAAGTGCGGGGAGGGTTATAAAGAATTGAGCGCGAGAACTATTTTGGATGCGGCCGCGGCGAGTGAGGAGAGTCACACCCGGTATCCTGAGCTTCTGAGGCAGGCAAGAGAGATCTGGGGCTCGAAGCGGTGGCAGTGGCAGAAGGGGATGCCGGAGGAGCAGAGCGTCGAGGGCGACGGCAGCAGAGCAGGAGATGGCGGCGCTAAGGTTCGGCAGCGAAAGGCCGGAGAGCGAGAGGGCGAGTGGCGAGCAGGCTGGCGGGTGACACCTTTTGCGGACCCAGGCAAGGGTGCTGTCTGAGACAGCTGGAGATGGCCAAGGGAGACGCCGACAAGGCAAAGAGCAGCGAAGCCTGGGAAGCTGAGGCACGAGGAGAGTGTGGGCAGTCGATCAGCGGCCATCAGAAGGGGGAAGAGAGGAGGACGCGGACGAGGGCAGAGAGGCAAGACCAAAGAGTCTGGGTGCGTTTGCCGAAGCGAGGCGAGCCAAACTGGGGGGGAGGGCAAGAGGCGGACGACACGGTGGAAAGCTTTTTTGTCGCTAGAATGCGGGGTGCAGGTAAGGAGAGTGACACCACGCTTGCTGAAACACCACGCTGAGAGCGCTTCAATCACAGCAGCTCGAGGGCTGAGTGCAGTGGACGAGGGGGGGGCACCGGAAGAGTGTGTCTGAGCGGCGCGCGATGCAGGCAGCTACTGTATCTCGGCAGGCACCGAGTTGGGCTGGAAGGGCCGCCGAGCTGGCCGAGGGAGGCAGCCCAAATTCGCGAGCTCGTGGGCTCGAGGGCACAATAGAGGTGGACGGGGGCCTGGAATCGCACCAAGTTCGAACACGGGAAGCAGAATCTGCGGCGGAAAAGCAGAGCCGCGGCGAGGCCAGGGAACCCCAGGACTGGGCAGGCGGCGACTCGCGAGCAGCAGCAGCTCTTCGGAAGCATCTAGCCGGAGAGCGAGCCAGACGGGAGGGAGAGGGCGGTTGGAAGCAATATGCATGAGCGCACGACGCCGGAGCTGGATTTGAACAATCGAGCTAGGCGAGGCGAGGAACGCATGTGGGAAGCTAGATGAGTGGGAGGCAGTGACGGCCAGAGTGCCAAGGATTCGACCTCCGCGCCTTCGCCACTGCTTGGTTGCAGGGCTAGCGAGCCGCCCAACTCGGCATGGGAACGCAGCAGAGACACGGCGGTGGTGGTGGCGGCGAGCGAGCAGAACAATGCGCGCTGTTCAGCAGCAGTCGCCCGTCGTCAGTCGTCCTCAGCCTCGAGGCAGCCTCGCCTGAGCTTTGGAGAGCCGACGCTAGAAAAGCAATCATTTGGGCTCAAATTGGAATTTCGTATTGTTTTTGTTTTGATTTTTCGATTGGTTTTTCCTGCTCTCCCCAAAGCTGGGGAAGCAGCGATTGTCACCAAGCGGCCTCGTCCGGCTTTGTGCTAGCATGCAATGCCCTGCTTGCTCTGCGTGCAGTGCAGACGATCGACAAGAGCATGGCTGTGAAGCAAAAACAAAGCCAGGGACAGTTTCGCAATGGATGGGCGCTCGCCAGAACGCACGCAGGCTGGGCGTACCAAATGAGGTTTTGGGCTTAGCCGAGCCGTCCTCTCTCTCTCTCTCGCAGCGCGGTGAAAAGGCCGGGCAGAAGTGGCCACGAAATCTGGATGGCTGCCCCCGCAAAAAGAAAAAAGAGAGCTGCAAAGCACAATTGCGTGGGCAGAGCGGCCACAGTTTCGGTCAGAGACTCGCTCGTGCATGGTGCATGTTGCATTATGCATGATGCATGGGAACCGGTACCGTGCTGCGGCGCCGAGGTCTGTGTCCATCCGCTCTCCCTGCCCGCGCCAGGCCGAGCGTTGCATGTTTGTGGGCAAGCACGTCGCCCTCCCAGTGTACCGTCGTACAAACCAGTCCCAGCCCCCCCCCCCCCCCCCCCC